AGTTAACCTTTTGATTGCCAGAGATCGTAACCCCATCTATCCCAGTGTCAGTACTTTTTATTAGCACTGATCACTGTATTAGTGTCACTGGGGATGTCAGTGGCAGTTCGTCAGTTCCCCCCCCAGTGTCAGAATACTCGCTGCAGTCCTGCAGTCCCGCTATAAGTCGCTGATTGCCGCCATTACTATTATTAAAAAAAATCGAGTAATATATACTGCCATTTGTAGATGCTATAACTTTCAAGTAAACCAATTAATTTACACATATTGAGATTGTTTTTTAGCAAAGACATGTCACAGAGTACATTTTGGCCTAAATTTTTTAAAAATTTTTACTGGATATGTTTTATAGCAAAAAGTAAAAAATATTGTTTTTTTTCCAAAAATTTCCAAAAACGCACAGGCGATCAAATACAACTGAAAAAAGCTCTATTTGTGCAAAAAAATTACATACATTTCATGTGGGTGCAGTGTTACATGACCGCGCAATTGTCAGTTAAAGTAACGCAGTGCCATATCGCATAAAATGACCTGGTCAGGAAGGGGGGGTTAAATCCTCTGGAGGGCAAGTGGGTAATGTTCAGCTGTCAGTGGGGTTTCCCACTGACAGCTGTCAAAAAAATTTATGGTATTGCCCAACAATTACATTTTCTTTTTTTTTAAAGGCGTGGGGTCCGCTCTCCCATCCATACCAAGCCCTTCGGGTCTGGTATGGATTTTCAGGGGAAACCCTCACACCAAATTTTTTTTAAATGATATGGGGGACCCACCCAAAATCCATACCAGACTTTTATCCCTGCATGTAGTTTGGCAGTTCAGGAAACTGAACCATACCAGGCCACATACCCTCAACGTGGGAGGGGGGGTTGCTTTGGGGTGGGGGGCTTCCCACCCCAAAGCACCTTGTCCCTATGTAGATGGGGTCAAGAACCTCTTCCCCACAACCCTGGCCATTGGTTGTGGAAGTCTGCGGGTGGGGGGGGGCTTATTGGAAAAAGGAAGCCCCCTTTAATAAGGGGGCCGCCACATCCTATGTGAATAAGTATGTGGCACCCATTAACAAATAAAAAGTGTGGTGTAAAAACGACAAGAGATGCCCGCCGCCACCACCACCGACTCGAAAAAAAGAAAAAAAAAAAACTCTCCACTCTCGACGCTGGCTCCTTGGCTGTCTGACAGTTGCGCCGTGATGACAGTTCTTAAATACTGTGATGATAGCACAAGGGACGGGGTTACCCCCACCCCCTTGTGACATCATCATGCGCTATAATTGGCCTAAGCATTGCACCTGACCTGTGGTCATGTGCGTTGCTTTGGCCAATCACAATGCACTGTCAGGGGTGCAGTGCATTGTGGGGAGTGGCGGGCAAATAGCCCGCCGAACACCCTTACTGTTTGTGCGTTCAGTGAAACAAACGACCAATGTTTGAGTGAAACTTACGTTCAAATTGAACATAGAGCCTATGAAATGTATTGTAATTGTACTGTCTCCCTGTATATTGTAAGGAGCTGCGCAAACTGTTGGCCCTATATAAATCCTATATAATAATAATAATAATCACTAGTTACGAGGCTCACAGGTTGCTCAAGGGTTGGGCAAATGGCATTCTCTGCTGTTAGGAACCTGTATGACCATCTACAGTACATGCCATACAAGTGACAATCCTTCAGAAAACCTGATAAAGATTCAATCTATGCTTGGCAACCTAAATGATGAACCCTACATTCTTTGTGCAAAAACAATATGGGGTGGTGGAGCATGGGACTATGAGAAATTTCTGACTAAATGAAATGATTGTTATGCCTTAGCAGCTCTCTACTACTCAGTGAAGCCTCAATAGGGTTCCTGGGAGAATATTTTAAATTAAGCATCAAACACAATTACCTAATAAAATCATCAGAATTAACTAAATAATTTTATACTTGTGTTTTCATGAATTTAGCCACTTGAAATAATGTCTTTGTCCTTAATGTACAGGATGTTCTTATCTTTTAGAATGACTGTATAAAAAAAATTGTTTAACTAAAACAGCTGTTTTATTGTAGCCCTCATGAAGGCGGATTTATGTATGGCCCCCAAAATGTGTTGACTGTCAGCTCTTCATAGACCCCTTTCTTGAAACAAATAGGAAACAAATAAAGCTTTGCACTCTTACCATTCACTCCATACAGCTTACAAAGTAATGTTCTACAGACTATCATTTCTGAGAAATGTTATAATCATTTAGTCAATTACAGTCTAAGACTGGCTTTCTCAACCAGGATTCCTCCAAAGGTTTGAACAGTGAGCAATTTATGGCTCCTGGGTAAGAAACCACTGACCCCAATAATCTTTTTAGCTGCCTGTAATGGTGGAATTCCTCTCCCTGATCACCAATGTATGGAGAAATCTACTAACTGATTACCACTGTAATGGGGCCTTTTGAGGAAGGGAGGATTTTACAGGTAAATAACATTCATAAAATATATTATATGTGCATAAAATCACATTGGATGATTGTTGCTGAAATCAATAGCCTGGTCACTGGTGACAGGTTCTTTTTACTATTATGAAACAATAGGCATTGTGACGAGAGTGCAACATTTGATTATGTTTGTGGAAGAATGAAATCTCATCATCAGCATTTTCCTCTTTTGGTCAGTAGCCACTATAATCCTGCTGTAATAGTGAAGATGTGGATAAAGCATGGATTTATTAAAGCACACCATACAGAACAATGCATGTAAGATTTATAATAAAATATACCAATCAACCAACAAGCTCCAAAACAAAATCTTGCACTGAAACAGACATAACTTGAAAATTAGGCCTAAACATTGGGCTATAGGTATTACAGGACATTCACATTTCACTTGTAATTATTTTTGCAATATACCCTGTAGCGATAAGCCAATATTTCTGTCCAAACCTAAGTTTGGACCGACCTTTGGCTATTCATTCATTTGGATGAACACCAGAACTTTAGACCATGTGTTTTCTAATATACTCAGTTATGTTGATTCATTGGATAAACTCTACTCCTACAGTAAATCAGACCCACTTTCCATAGTGTCTGTTTACTTTATTATTATTATTATTATTACATTGAGTTTATATAGCGCCAAAGGATTTGCTCAGCGCTGTACAATAGAGGGGGGACAATACATGAAACAGCACAGCAACTACAAACAGCACACGAGGGGTTAGAGGGCCCTACTCTTTCGAGCTTACAATCTAGGAGGGAGGGGGTAGTGGTACAGGAGGAAGTGGCTGTGGGGGATGGAGTGGTAGGAGGAATGAAGGAGAACGGCAGTTAGGTGAGGGTGGGGTAGGCTTCCCTGAAGAGGTGGGTTTTCAGGGAGCGCCTGAAGGTGAGGAGGCAAGGTGACAGTCTGATGGATTGGGGTAGTGAGTTCCAGAGGATGGGAGAGGACCTGGAGAGGTCCTGCAGTCGGGCGTGGGAGGAGGAGACCAGGGAGCAAGATAGAAGGAGGTCTTGTGAAGAGCGAAGGGTACGGGTGGGGTGATACCTGGGAATCAGGTTGGTGAGGTAGTTAGGGGCAGTGTTGTGAATGGCTTTGTAGGTCACAGTGAGTAGTTTGAATTTGATGCGTTGGGCGATAGGGAGCCAGTGGAGTGATAGGCAGAGGGGGGTGGCAGAGGTGGAGCGGTTGGTGAGGTTGGTGAGGTACTTTACAAAGTAGATATAGCTATGTTCACCTTGAAGGGAAAATATGCTTGAACATGACTAGATGATTGAAGTCAATGAAACTTTATCATATTCTCTAAGCTAACATTCATTTTGCTAAGTGAATTGAATTTGCTCTTTAATTATATCAACCATACAGGATACAAGTACTGAGAATTTTTGAAATAGCAATTGATATATTTATTACTTGCTAATGACATACATTGTTGCTTGTCCTCAATTCTTGACAAATATTTTACAACTGCATTGGCATTATGATCACCAGTCCTGAGATTAATTTTAATCACAGGACTGGTGATCTTTCAAAAACAAACATATATTCTGTCATATGGGACTAGTTTGACAACTGCATGACGTGTCTTAGACGGTTGATCATGCATGGCCATGTTTAGTTTTTATTAATTCAATTCCTTCCAGAAAGGATGTACATGCACATGTCTTCTGCCAAATATCCGGGGTGCGTAATCTCTCTAATCAATCAAGTGGTGACAGCTACGGAGTGTGCCAGCAGTTGCCACTTGGCATAGTGTTGATCAAAGACAGATGAACAGTCACAGTTGAAATAAAATAAGCTTAGTCCGCCGGATGAATGACTTCTTCCTGTGGAAAACAAATATTCCTTGACCAACAAAGTCTCGGTTAATATGAGGAAATTAAAGTGTAAACAAAGACTGGAGTGTTTGCAGGAGCTCCATTAGAGGAAATCTGCAATGGTGTGGGTTCAGTTTTGTTGCATTAGTATTTATGGGTGGTTTAGAGCAGTAGTGGTGAAGCTGTTTTGAAGAGAACATAAACATATACATGTGAATTCAAAACTGTAGGACCTGTGTACATACCTTCCAACTTTCTGAAATTGGAAAGAGGGACACCTTTAAGCACAAGGTATGTAGGAAAAGAGAACACCCTTGACAGGCCTCCAGTTATAAATTATAAAGAATGGATAGGCAGAAAATGATTGGGTAAACCCACCAGTTCTTTTTACCACCAATTCTCCTGCATTTCAGCTGGTCAATACAACAAATGAAAAAATTCAGGGGCTGGATGAAACGTTTAGCACATGATCATAGTTTTGGTACTTGAGACATATACGGTTTATGAGGTCTTTATCTCGAAACCAAAAATAGAGACAAAAGAGGAGGAAAGAGTGGCAAAAACATTTTGCTGGATAAGAGGGACAGTTGGAAGCTATGTGTGTGGGGCCAGAACTTTTCCAATTAATTATGTAACTGCTAAGTATAATTGAGTAAGGAACAAAAAAGCACTGATCCTACAACGTACAAGAAAACAAGAGTACTTGAATCAATGCCCCCTTTAACCTCTTCCTGTCCGGCCCATGTACATAAATGGCCAGACGGGAACAGTCCCGAAGCGGGTCGCCGTTTATAAACGGCCCCCGCATTCCCTGCCTGTGCACGCTCCCTTGAAGTGCGAGGCACCGCGATCTGGTGCCCGCTGTCTCCTCTGGACACAGCAGAACACTGATCGCTGTACAGGACCTCTGTGTGAGGTCCCGATCATGTGATCAGTGATTGGCCAATCAGTGATCACATGAATAGTAGTAAACAAAATGTTGCATCCTGACATCATTGCTTACTACTTGTGAAATCTGTGAATGATTACAAAGGTCACATGGTACAAGGCTATTCACAACAACCTTGTACTATGTGACAAGCTGTGACCAATCACAGCTCTCACAGTAATTCTAAATGGCTGCAAGAATGAGAAATGATTGCTTTTACAGCCTTTATGTGTGTAAAAGCAATCAGTGTAAAAAAAGGAAAACAAAAATCTTTGTCACCCCCACAAGTAGTACAATGCTACTGTGGTGACACTGTACTGCTAGGGTGACAGTATGTTGAAAAAAAAAAATTATAATTTTTGGTTACAAACTAATGTGGATTTTTTTTTACTAAAACGATAGATGAATATATTTTGGCCAAGATTTATGAAGAAAGATTATTTACAAAATTTTATAAGAAAAAACACTATTTTTCTAAATTTTTGGACTTTTTCATTTTATATAGCAAGAAAATAAACATCCCAGTGGTGAACAAATACCATCAAACTAAAGTTTTATCTGTCTCAAAAAATTGCTAAAAAATTCATATGGACACAGTGTTGCATGACCGCAGAATTGTCATTCAAAGTGTGATAGCACTGAAAGCTGAAAATTGGTCTGGACAGGAAGGGAGTGAAAGTGTCCGGACTTGAAGTGGTTAACCACCTCCCGTCCGGCCATTGTATATAAACGGATGGGCAGTGGCACTGCAGGGTCGGGTGGCCGTTTATAAACGGCCTCCCTGCACCCTGCTTGTGCGCGCACCCTGGGAGCACGTAGCACCACGATCCAGTGCCCACTGTGTCCTCCGGACACAGTGAAACACCGATCGTCAGACGGGACCTCTGTACGAGGTCCCGGTCATGTGATCACTGTTTGGCCAATCAGTGATCACATGCAAAGTTGTAAGCAAGATGTCACTTGTGACATCATTGCTTACTACATGTAAAATCTGTGAATAATCACAGAGGTCACATGGTACAAGGCTATTCACAACAGCCTTGTACCATGCGACAAGCTGTGACCAATCACAGCTCACTCAGTAGCTCTCAATGGCTGCAAGAATGCAGACAGAGAGAAAGAGAAATGATTGCTTTTACATCCTATATGGGTGTAAAAGCAATCAATGTAAAAAAAAAAAAAAATCTTCATCACCCCCCACAAGTAGTACAGTGTCACCATGGTGACACTGTACTGCTTAGGGTGACAGTATGTAAAAAAACAAAACATAAATAATAATATAAAAAAATAAAATGTAAAAAAAAATATTTAAAAATTATAATTTTTGGTTATAAACTAATTTGGCTTATTTTTTTTTTTACTAAAAGGATAACGCAATACATTTTGGCCAAGATTTATGATAAAATTTTATTTATTTGCAAAATTTTATAAGAAAAACACTTTTTAAAAAAATTTTTTTTTGGACTTTTTCATTTACATAGCAAAAAAAATAAAAATCCTAGAGGTGAATAAATACCACCAAAATAAAGATATATCTGTCTTAAAAAAAATGGTAAAAAATGTATATGGGTACAGTGTTGCATGACCGCGCAATTGTCATTCAAAGTGTGATAGCGCTGAAAGCTGAAAATTGCCCTGAACAGGAAGGGGGTAAAAGGGTCTGGACAGGAAGTGGTTAAAGCTGCTGTGTTAGGGTTCCACCCATTAATGGTAAATACAGAGTCCATATTTTTATAAAAATGATTTATCTTCAGATTCTTTAGATATTAATTTATTGTACAAGGGCTTAAACAGCTATTCTAGTAGCAGTGAAAGCCATCACTGAACTAGTGCTGTTTACATTCAAATCAAAAAGTGCTCTTAGTTTAGTGTAATTTCAGTTCCCTGCAGTTCCCTGTCGTTTGCCTTCCTAAGCATGCTGGAAGTATATTGGGAGTATCCTGTGACTTATGCAATGCTTTTAGTGATTTTCGGGCTGCCAAGGCAGGTTTAGATTTAGATCTGACTGGTGGCTGACGCTTTCTGATTAGAAAAAATTATCACCTTACCTGTGGTATGCGTGTTTAGGAATATTTCTTCTGTATCACAAGCAGGGGTTCCCAGATCACCAGGTTATTGACAAAAAGCTAAGAGACTAGGGCATCTGTCCATGCATGACAAACTGAAGCAATAATCAGTTAGGCCGTGCTCCCTGTACGCATATCAATGCCTAAAGTAGAAGTCCAGTCAAATCCTAACTATACTTAAACCCAGGGCTGGCTCCGGACAAATTTTTTTGGGGGTGTTCTTTATGCTGGTGCTGGAAGTACGAGTGGGGGTGCTACACCATGCACATGTGAGTGTGCCAAAAAGTGAGTGTGGCCAGCAAGTGGCGTTTCTTCATGGTCTATGGCTTGTAATTTAACACTTTTCTCCCTTTGTGTAGACCAAATAAGACCTGGAGGTGAACTGATGAGACTGTGGGATTAAAATAAGCCCAGGTGGGGCCAGATAATTTAACCCTCAGTTTGTGTTAAGTTTAGCAATAACTCCCAGCACAGCATAATAATTAACTTCAAGCTGTTCACAATAATTAACCCACAGTAGGACACAGAAATTAACCACTATCGCAGCACAGGAATTAACCAGGGCATAGTTCAATGATTAACCCTCCACTTGGCACAGTCATTAACCCCAACACTGCACAATAATTAATCCCCAGCATTGCTCAACAGTTAATCCCCAATATTATACAACAATTAACCCTCAACATTGCACAACAATTAAACCCTAGATGCCTTGATTGTAAGCTCCAAAGAGCAGGGCCCTCCTATCCCTCTTGTACTGAACTGTATTGTTGCTGTACTGTCTCCCGTTATATTGTAAAGCACTGAGCAAACTGTTGGCGCTATATAAATCCTGTATAATAATAAACCCCAAAATTAAACAATTTGCCTCCAATATATTGCACAATATTTACCCGCAGCATTTCATGAGAATTAACATGCAGCATCTCATAACAATTAAGCCCTAGCACGGCACAGTAATAAACACTTAGCACAACACAATAAACCCCCAGAAAGATCTCCAATGGTACTCGCTAGGGTTGTTCACTCTTCCACTTGATTTTCATGCTTACCCTGGAACCTTTCCTTTGCACAGTCAGATGGGAGCCCGGCATCCTTGGCTATGTTAAGGCTTCTGGGTCCCATAAGGTAGCTGCCTTTGCGGTCGACTTAATATTCTTCCTAACCAACCCACTTGCATCCTTGCCAACCCTGCTTCACTCTTTCCGAGTGTTCGGGACCCTTTCTTACTTTCAGATCAATCTATTTAAACCCTCAAAATTTCAGAACCACAGGATGTGGTCAGCCGTCTTCGCCCATTGTTCCCTTTTCATTGGGCCACTGACTCAATCCGCTATCTGGGAGTCAATATCACCTCTGACCCGGACACTCCTTATTTTTAACCAATTTTGAACCACTGATTCAGCGTACACGTACAGACCTGCTGCATTGGCATGCACTTACCCTCACGTGACGCTGTAATGCGCTCACAATGACTCTTCTCCCCAGGATTTTCTATTTTCTCCATGCTCTCCCCATCCACATTCCCCCCCCTCTTTTTTTAAAAGAGTTCATGCTCTTTTCAGGCAGTTTATCTCGTCTTATCGTAAACTCCGTCTGCAACTTCAGCTTCTTCACCTCCCCACATGTCAGGGTGGGCTAGGCCTTCCAGATATTCAAGCTTACTACAAGGCGGTTCATCTAATGAGGTTGGTGGATTGGCATTGTCATGCAGAGGCAAAATATTGGGTGGCAATGGAATTGGAGGATTCTCAGGGCACTGCCAGAAGCTGGCTCTGGATCTCATCGCAGGTGCCTGGGGACTTGGTGGACCATCCCACGCTTGACAGCACATTGTTGATCTCTCATGAGACCTTTCATGACTTCCCTCTCTCCATTGCCATCCCTATGACCCCCCTTTTTGGGAACCCAGAGTTTAAACTGGGCTTAGATAACCCTCAATTTCAATGTCTGGCTTCCTCCGGGCGCCTCCATCTATGGGATTTTTTGGGACCTGATGGCAATCTTGCCCCCTCCACCTTGGCAGCTGCCACTGATCCACCGTTGTATTTTTGGAACAACCTACAACTTTGGCATTTTCTTTGTCAATGCTCTCGTTCTCTGGTGGTGTCTCATCGCCTTACGGAACTGGAAAATATCTGCCATAAGCGGGCAGTGACTCATCATTGCCTTTCCATTTTTTACTTTGCCCTGATCAGTTCGCATGACAATTTTACTTGCATCTCCACCATTTTTCAGTCCTGTGTACTACTTCCTTCCATTTTTATGTTTTTATTCATTGCATAATACATACTGTTATTAGTTTAATTTTGCATACCCTTACTCTGGTTTATTAAGGCCCATTTTTTTTATATTTCTGTATATATTGCACTGTATAACCTTTGGCCATATAAAAAGATAAATAAAGGAATTACAAAAAAAAAACATGCTAAAAAATTAATTTGGGTACAGTATTGTATGACCGCGCAATTGTCATTCAAAGTGTGATAGTGCTGAAAGCTGAAAATTGGCCTAGACTAGATGGGGGTGAAAGTGTCCGGACTTTAAGTGGTTAAGCATAGTTAGGATTTCACTGGACTTCCATGTTAACGTGACACTAAACGATATTTGTATACTCCAAAAATAATCCAAACACATCCACTACTTTATGGCCCTGTAATCTATTTTTTAGGAAATTAATTCTTAGTGTGTTTTGCTGCCTCCTTGTATCACCCTCTGTGAGCTCCATAGTCCATAGTCCATCTCAGGGGGTAGCAAGAGAGGGTAGCTACATTCCTGTATACAGTGGGACCATGGAGAAAGAACATAGCCACCCAAATTACATCAGCAGAAAAAAGGAATCTGGAGAGGGGTGAGAGGAATAGAAGGTACTTTTGTAAGTTTACAAATACATTCTTGAATAGAATTATTTTTTTAACTAGAGCTTAGTGTCACGTTAGTTTTCACCTCTCACTGGAGTGTGCTTACTAAAGTTGCATTTAAGTTTTAATAACATATCTATACTTGCGTTATCTTACTTGCTATTATAACAAAAAAACACATTCCCTATAAATGAACTTACAAACTGCCCATTAATGGAAAACCAACACCAGCAACTATGATTGCAGCACATACCACATCCTCAAAGTTTTCACCAATGTTTCATCAGTCAGCCATTGACATGCACTGAAACCATCTAGAAGGCTTTTCTTACCTGCCAAGCACATGAAAACTGCATTAGCAAATTACTTTTGGCTTATTATGCAAAGAGGAATGTGCAAAATATACTCATCCCCAGCAACCAAACTCAATTTATCTGTCATTGATTTGACTTCAGTAAACTGAAATTTGATTGGTAGCTATGCACTACTGCAGCTGACACAGTATAAATTCTCGTTACACTTGTTTATTGAATAAGCCATGATCATATGATGCTAGAGACATTGACATATTCTCAAATTAAACAGTGTTTGCTAGTAGACACAATAAAAACCTGAATGCAGTGAAGTAAAACTGGCGGAATGCTAAACCTTGGCCCAATTCAACACTGTGCACAAATCAATTAACTCTCAATAAACTATGCATACAATTTATATAAAGGACGTTTAAATAACTAGGTCATTCCTAAGAAGGTACCATCATTATCATGTCTTTGGGGGCTTTCAATTTGATTTCCCAGTGAATAGCTAAATACACTTTGAAAATGCATATAAATGACTTGTTTTACCTGCTAAAGGATTTGTGCAGTCAGGTTTCTAATACAGATAAACGTACATATTCGCCAGCACACCATGGATCTTGAGATCCACGGTGTGCTTGCTAATATGTACGTTTATCTGTGATGTCTCCAGTATCCAGCTGGCAGTCGCTACAGCAAACACTGTTGATCAGCCGTGGTTCCAGGAATGTGTGTGATGGGAGTATGGACAAGGTTTCTAATATAGACATCACAGCCAGGTAGGAGACCTGCACACAGTGGATTGATATATGATTTCAGGTACGAACACTAGATACATTTAAAGAAGTCTTGGCAGAAATA